AACAGACAAATCCAGGTTGTGGGACAACTTACAACTGTCTCAGACTCTTCAAAAGTGACACTGTCATAAAAGACCAAAAAGTAGGGAAATGCTTTAGACTAAAGGAAACAAAGACATAACATGCAATACCTGATCTTTGATTGGATCCTAGATCAAACAAAACAGATTTAAAGAACATTACTCATTTCTGACCAAGATGGAGTTACAGGGACCAATTTAACCTCCCACCTGAAAGAACTGAAAAACTAGACAAAATACACAAAACAACAGTTCTCACGACATTAGACATCAGGCAACGAAAACAACAGTTCTCAAGACACTGAACATCAGGCAGTGACAGACAGTGACCTCCAAGAGATGGGAAATAAATGAAGTAAGCCCTATGACTGCCTTGAGACAGTTTCCAGGCTGTGATGCAAGGGTGGGGGAGATACAGGCAGAGACTTGCGGACTCCTTGATTAAGGAAATGGAGCTGAGAATCCAGGAAAACTGAGGTGACTAGAATCCACAAAGAATACTAGAGAGAAAAGAATTGCACAGAGAAGGAACTCTGGAGTTATGCAGATGGATCTCTTGAGTGTTCAGCAAAGTACTGATCAGTGCATGTGTATGAGGAAACTACTTAACGCCAGGAAAAGAACCACTTGAAAGCATTAGACAGGCATGGTGCTGATAACACCAAGGTCAAGGGTTCAGATCACTGTACTGGCCAGCCATAAAAAGAAAAAGCAGCAACAACAAAAGTATTAGAAGAATAATTGAATTATACACAGGCTTAGGAATAGTGTCTATTCCCATGACAGGCTGGAAAACTTCATGAGTCAAGGGGCATTGGGTACTCAGAAAGATCTTGCCTTAACAGCTGTGAACATTGAGCTCTACACTAAAGTCTCCTATGTGATCCACCCAGAAAGAGGGAGAGAGAAAGAGAGTATGTTAACAATAGAATCCACACAAAGGATACAAGGCTGTCTATTGTACTTATTCTTTCATCTTTCTGGTAGGTTTAAATTTTTTTAAAAGAAAAATTTGAGCAAAAAAGATACCCAAACTATTGATTAGCTTATTATTATGGTTTACTGGGTTCAGTTTCAGGGAGATAAAAACTGTCTCTGTGACTGGAGTAAGTCCTCCAGGTTAACTTTAAGCAGGATAGGATGGTGATTAGGAATACAGATTCCATAACCAGACAAGGCTTGAATCCCAACTCTGCTAATAATGTGACCTCCGGCAAACTGCTTAATCTCTGTTGCTCAGCCTCTCTGTTATAATAGCACCTACCTCTAATGAGTTTTTAGGAAAAAATGTATCAATACCTGAAAAGTGCCTGGCACATGGTGAGTACTCAATAAATGTTAATTAGTTCGTAACTTGCAGAGGCTGCCTGAAAAGTAATCATGCTCTTCCACCTTGGGTGCCTTCTCTGAGTCCTTCAAAATGATGACTTTATTAGGACCACGTTACGACTGTCAAAACAGAAGTGTGTTTCTCGGGTCCATGAAGGCTGAGTTGGCAGTACAATGTAAAGAGTTTTAGATTAAAACTGCATCCAAGGGCCGAACCTGTGGCTCACTCGTGAGAGTGTGGCGCTGGGAGCGCAGCAGCGCTGGGAGCACTGAGGCCGCAGGTTCGGATCCTATATAGGGATGGCCGGTGCGCTCACTGGCTGAGCCCAGTGCAGGCAACACCAAGCCAAGGGTTGCAATCCCCCTACCGGTCACTAAAACAAAAACAAAAAAACTGCATCCAATAAGTTGGCCTGACACATTTTTCAAACCCCTAGAAGCGTAATTACATGTGACTAATATTCCTTTGGGTCTGGTGGAAGCTTCTGATGTTCATATAGAAAGAATGGACCCAGAAGAGTAATCCAGCATTTTAAATCTATGGCAACCTCAACTCTGAAAGTGTTTGCTGTTCCTTTCCTGTCCCAACTTTTTATTTTGGAAAATTTCACATCTACAGAAAACTTGAAAGAATGGTATAATGAATATTTGTATACCTTTCACCTGGATTCAACAATTGGTGACACTTCACCACATCTATCTTCAGTGTGGGTATGTTTATACATTTTCTTGGCAAACCATTTGAGAGTAAGTGCAGACATTATGACCTGTCACTGCTAAACACTTCAGTGTGCATCCCATAACAACCAAGGCATTGTCCTACATACCCCAATACTATTATCACCCAGTGAAATCTAATATGAATATCTCTGTCTCCTACATAGTCCATATACAAATTTTCCCAACTGTCCCAGTCATTTCATAGCTTTTTTTTTTTATTAAGCCAGAATCCAATCAAACACCAGGCACTGTATTTAGTTTTCATGGTTCTTTAGTCTCCTTTAATTTAGCTGTCACTGCTAAACACTTCAGTGTGCATCCCATAACAACCAAGGCATTGTCCTACATACCCCAATACTATTATCACCCAGTGAAATCTAATATGAATATCTCTGTCTCCTACATAGTCCATATACAAATTTTCCCAACTGTCCCAGTCATTTCATAGCTTTTTTTTTTTATTAAGCCAGAATCCAATCAAACACCAGGCATTGTATTTAGTTTTCATGATTCTTTAGTCTCCTTTAATTTACAACTGTTCCCCATCTTTTAAAAATCTTTCATGGCATTGACATTTTTTAAGCCTTCAAGCCAATTGTTTTACTCTCCTCAATTTGTTTTTGTATGATCAACCTGAATATAACAAGGAAACATTTTTAGCAAGAACACTTCATAGGAAATATCGTAGTTTTGTTATTCATTATAAAGTATGAACTAGGAATAGTACAAGTGATGACAAACTTAAATAATGATTTTAAAGCATGCTGACCAATTTTTGAGACTGCAAATGACCTGAGGTGTAGATTATCCTTACTTGAGAATAATTATTTTTCAATACACATTAAAGATCATTACACAGGAGCTGGCTTACTTACTTTGTATATAAATGTCTAAACTCCTGAGGACTTTCAATAATGAACTCCACTGTGGCAGTTGCTTTAACCTCTTTGTGTCCTTGATGGCAAATGGCTACAGAGAACGATAGCACTTTTTTCTTATCCAGTAATGGTCAGGAGAAAAGCAGATAGAACCCCACTACTGTGGATAAGAAAGTGAAAAGGCTGCTGGATGACAACTTTGACTATGCAGTGAGAAGGTCATCTAGCCAACATGGGAGGGGATTGACTGTGTCAGACACTGCAGGAGGTTGAGGGTGATGAGGCTAGAGCAGTATCTGATGGATCTGCTGACAACGTTGTGAAGATAGTCAAGGAGGTGACCTGACAAAAATGATTGCAGCAGACTGCTAAATGAAGGGCCTTTTTCCATACTGATCTTGTGTAATCCCTTCAACTAGCCTTAGCACAACAGCATGTTTCTATTTAGCTTGCCATACTGGAGGGAGAATGGCAAAATGTAAGCTGCGATGAGTTGTGTAACAAACTGTCACAATAGGGCCCTATAGAAATAAAAGACTGCAAAAAAATGACATACTTCACACCATACATAAAAATTAACTCAAAATGGATCATAGACCTAAATGTAACTACACAATTTCCAGAAGAAAACATAGGAGAAGATCTTTGTGAGTTTGGATTAGACAATGGGTTCTTAAACAAAGGTTTCTTAGGTCAGACACAGAAAAGCACAAACCATTCAAGAAAAAAATTGCTAAATTAGAGTTCAACAAAATTAAAACATTAACAACTTCGGCTCTTCGAAGATACTTTAAATAGAATGAGAAGCCACAACCTGAGAGAAGGTATTTACTAAACACATATCTGAGAAAAAAAGACTTGTATCCACAGTATATAATAAAGCACTCTTAACACTCAATAAGAAGATAAATATCCAATCAAAATATGGGAACAGATTTGAACAGACACTCGGTAAAGATGATATTTGCACATGAATAGACAATATCATCAGCTGTTAAAGAAACGCAAATTAAAACTGCAATGACTACACACCTACTAGTAGAAAGGCTAACATTTTAAAAAAACCCTGGAATAGAAGGATCAGGTGAAGATGTGGAGCAACTGCAACTCTCATACACCACTGGAGGGAATGCAAAATGGTACAGCCACTGTAGGAAACAGTTCAGCCGTTTCTTTTTTTTTTTTTTTTTTTTCTTTTTTTGTGTCCGGCAATGGATCGCAACCCTCAGTGTTGCCCCCGTACCGGACCGGGGACCGGCAACGGGACTGCAACCCTCGGCGTTGCTCCCGTGCCTCGCTCAGCCAGTGAGCAGGAACCGGTCTGTATGTGGGATCCGAACCCTCGGGCGGGAGCGCCGCCGTACTTCCCAAGCGGCGCACTCATCCAGTGCGCCACCGGGCCGGCCCCAGTTCAGCCGTTTCTTAAGAAGTTAAAAAAGCACTTAGCATGTGATGCAGCAATCCCACCCCTAGGCATTTACCCCAAAGAACTGAAAATATATGTTCACACAAAGACCTGCATGTGAGTATTTTTAGCAGCTTTATTCATAATTGCCAAAAAATTGGAAAAAACCCAAATGTGCATAAACTGATGAATGGATACAGAAACTGGTATATCCACACCACTGGAATGCTGCCCAACAATAAAAAGGAATGAACTACAGATAGACGCAACAGCATGGATAACAACATAATCTTAAAAGGATTATGTATATGAAAGAAGCAAAAGGCCACATAGTTTCATTTACAAGACATTCTGGAAAAAGCAAACCTATAGGGACAGAAATCAGACTGGTGGTTGCCAGGGGCTGGTAGTGGGAGGAGAGGATTGACTGCAGAGAGACTTGAGGGGACTTTTTGAGGGGAGAGAAATGTTCCATATTGGGAATGTGGTGGTGGTTGCATAACATACATTTGTCAAAACTCATCAAAGTGTACTCTTAAAAAGAGTAAATTTTATTATGTGAAAATTATACCTCAATAAACCTGACTTAAGAAAACAATAAAACAACCCCAAAACTAAGTGAAAATAAATCTAAGAAAAAAATAACTTACAGTTTTTCCAATTCAAGAGTCATCAGGATGGTGTTCTCAATTGTTGTGACACTTGTGTTGCTCCCATGTCTCTGAAGGAGAAAGCCCAAACATTCATGATAGGAACCCCAATACAAAAGTTCTGTACTTAAAAACACATTTCGAGACGTATGAGTACTTCAAATTTGGCTTCTCTATAAACAATCTTAAGAGTTTATTGGCCATAGAAGATAATTCTAGAGCGCTCTTATTGAATAAATTTAAGTTTATTTGCATCATTAAACTAATGGCCTTGGGATTGAATAGAGAACCTCTACTTTTTTTTTTTTAACCATTATGTTACTTATCATTTTGAATTGTATTCACCTGTCTTGATTACACTTTTTTTTTCTTTTTTAAATAACATACAGCTCTTCCTCTTTGCTTTCTGGTATAAATGATATTCCTACATGTGTCTCATGTTCCATGTCTATGTGTTTTCTTCAACTCTGCTCTCTTCCACTGCTGGCAGTCTTGCCCATTATACATCCTCTCTTAGTCCTTTCCTTTGCCAATAACTTTTTCCCCCAATAACCCAGTTAAAATTAAAATTATGACTTTTTAGCTCAAGTGAAAATACTTAATCTCTGAAGAAAGGAAAAAAGAAAAGCAGAAGTCATCTTGTGACTCATGACATTACTGTGATACTTACAGATATTTTAATGTTGACAATTTAAAAAGATGTAAATCTTCAACAGTACTCAGAGGATTATGGTTGAGAATTCTGAAAAATGCAATGAAATTAAAATCATTTGCATTTTCAATATGCATGAAAAGTTTATATTCACTTTCGTAATACGGAACTTTTGGTAAAAAAATCATCATTTTCTGTCTTTACATATAAAACACACTTAGAATCTGTAAAGTATTCTTCCTTTGGAAACTAAAAGATAAAGTAGAGAAGAGAAAAAGAAAAGAAAAAAATGGATAGCAAAGAAAAAGTATGTCAAAAAACTTTTTAGGTCAAAAATCCTAGAACTGACTTCACCAGTAGAAAGACCTCACTCTTCAGGAAACAGTATTTATAGTGCCCTCCATAATTCAAGGTGCTTGTCTTTCACCTTTAGAAATTTCAAAAAAAAGTCATGGTTAATCCAGCCAGTCAAGAAAAAAATTGGACCAGGCTGGCTGGTTGTTCAGTTGTTTGGAGTAACACCTTGTAACATCAAGGTCAAGGGTTTGGATGTACCTGCCAGCCAGCTGCAAAACAAAACAAAACAAAACAAAACATAAAAGCCACAAGGAAAATTTGGAAAGTGTGGTGCTGCTGAAAAAAGCCAGGAGAAAAAAATGGGACCAATTCTTTGGCCTTGGAGCCAAAGAAAAAGATTTACATTTAAGAGAAGGAACTATTCAAAACCATACTCCCATCACACACACACCAGCCCTTGTGTTCTTGTATCACAACACAGCCTTTGTTACATTGCATTTAATCACATGTATACTTGTCAGTCTCCTAGAATGTCAGCTGCTTGAGGGTTTTTGACCCAAATTTGTATTCCAAAATGCTGGAATAGATTTTCTTTTCAATATTTTATGGCAAAAACAAACAAACAAAAAATCCCAAAGAAAAACAACAAAAAAAGAAAAGAAAATCTGCCTTTAGGTTAACTCTATTCAAGAATCATTAGTGAACCTTTGCAGAACATTATAAAAATAATTATTACACCTAAAATCTATTCAGCTGCCAGGCATCTGTGATCAGCATTTCACATTTAACCCTCAGAATAACTTTATATGGTAGATATTATTATTATTACCCCATTTTATAAATGAGGAGACTGAGGCACAGAGAGGTTATACAACATGTCCTAGGTGGCCAAGCTAATCAGAACCAAAGCTGGAATTTGAACTCAGTTCTGACTCCAAAGCCTGTGCTTTTTTTTCCTTTTTGTCTTTTTTACTGACCGGTAACGGGATCGCAACCCTCGGCGTTGCTCCCGTGCCTCGCTCAGCCAGTGAGTGGGAACCGGTCTCCACATGGGATCCGAACCCTCGGCGGGAGCACTACCGCACTCCCAAGCGGTGCACTCTCCAGTGCGCCACCAGGCCGGCCCCCAAAGCCTGTGTTTAACCTGTATAAAGAAAAGGGGTTTAAAATAGCTCTAACTGGGCCTGCCCGGTGGCGCACTGGATAAGTGCACCGCTTGGGAAGTGCGGTGGCGCTCCCGCCCGAGGGTTCGGATCCCACATACAGACCGGTTCCCGCTCACTGGCTGAGCGAGGCACGGGAGCAACGCCGAGGGTTGCGATCCCGTTGCCGGTCCCCAGTCCGGTACGGGGACAACACTGAGGGTTGCGATCCGTTGCCATACATGGAAAAAGACAAAAGACAAAAAAATAAATAAATAAATAAATAAAATAAAATAGCTCTAACTTTACCCTTAATTTTGAGAAGATTAAATATAGAAAAAACTTTTGAAACTTCATGTACTTACCTGGGAAAGCCACTATGAGAATTATAGTTTCTCTTTTTACTCCTTTCCCCTAATCATTTTCCATGATTAAATATTTAATTAATCCATGGTCACTGAGACTAGAGATTTCAAACCATGCTGTAGGTGACATCGGTGAAAATGGTGGAGTAAGGACATCTGAAACTTCATCCCTCCACAAAGGCAACAACAACAAAAAATGGCAAAAAAAGGTCAGAATCAATGTTTTCATAACTCTGGAAATTTAAACAAGGCTCTTAGCAGCCAAGAAGCATATAAATAAACATTCCAGAAATATAGCTGAATTTCTGTAACAACAATGCAATTTGTATCATTTTAACTTGCCTTAGACCATTCCTCACTGTCCAGATCAGTGGTAACCTGAAAATTAGCCCATATCCCCACTACCAGAGGGAACAGAATGGAGCTGGTGCTCCTTCAAAACGTCATTCATGATCAATTGTCATTATCTGACCTGTCTGGTGGTTCCCTGGAAGATCTCACTTGAAAAGTTTGCTTTTTTGATCTGATTGAGAGCTACCTGGTGCTAAAATTTTCTCACCAGAGGATGTTTTTGGAAAACAATTATAGGCAATTGTTTTAAAATGACAGCTGCACGAGGCAAGGAATAATGAAAAATGGCTTAATTGAAAGCTTAATAGGAAAAGCTGAGGAAGAAGATGTCCTTAGGAACTTTGAAATACTCCAACATATCCTTGGGAAACCGGAACATAATAAAATATATTCTTGGAATGTGGAAGACCATACACATGTGTAGGGCCGTGAGCACGGTCAGGAAAGACCTGAGAAGGCCCTAAACTCTCAACCCTGGCTGATCTTGAGGTTCAGAGCTGTAAACTGCTGACCGAATGCTGAAAGCATGCCATAATATGCACACATAGCCCCTTGGCAAAAACTCGGAGGCTTATTGGTTCCAGGCATTTAATGAAATCTCTGCTCAATCATTAGCTGACCACTGAGATAACCAAGTAAAAGACTTCAGTGTCCACACAAGACAAAGAACACAGACTTTACAAAATTAGTTCAGAAAAGTCACTAAATAAACAGCAACTACTAAAACAAGCAGCAATAACACCAAACCCTGGGGGCGGGGGGATCTGATTTCCAGAATCACTACATTATATTGTTTAAAATATCTAGTTTTCAACAAAAATTCATGAGAGACGCAAGGAAACAAAGTATGGCCCATACACGGGGCAAGGGTGGGGAGGAAGCAATCAGTAGAAACTGTTCCTTTGGAAGCCCAGGTGTTAGACTTACTAGATGAAGATTTAATTCAGCTATTTAAAGCATGTTCAAGAGATAAAGAAAACCATTTAGTTCTATAGACTAAAGAAATAAAGGGAAGTGTGAGAACAATGTCTCATTATAGAATAACAAAAGATAGATAGAAATTATAAAGAGGAGCAAAATAGAAATTCTGGGGTTGGAAAGTATTGCAACGAAGATGAAAAATTCACTAGAGGGTCTCAATAGCGGATATGAGCAGGAAAAAAAAAGAATCAGGAACTTGAAGGTCAATTGAGATTATTGAGTCTGAGAAAAAAGAAAGAAAAAAGAATAAATAAAAATGAATGGAGTCTCAGAGACCCATTTGTGAGACACCATCAAGTTTACTAACATACACATAATGGGAGTTTCAGAAGGAGAAGGGAAAGACAAAGGAGCAGAAAGAATATTTGAAGAAATAATGGCCCAAACGTCCCACACCTGATGGAAAACATTAACTTACACATTGAAGAAGCTGAAGGAACTCCAAGTAGGATAAACTCAAAGAGATCCACACCTAGACACATCATAAGCAAACTGTCAGAAGCTGAAGACAGACCATACTGAAAGTAGCAAAAGAAAAGTAACTTATCACACACAAGGAATCCTCAGTAATTTTAATAGCTGGTTTCTCATCAGAAACAATGGAGGCTAGAAGGCAGTGAGATGGCATATTCAAAGTGCTGAAAGAAATAAAAAAAACCTGTCAACCAAGAATTCTACTATTTGGCAAAACTATGCTAGACACACAAAAACTAAGAGTCTGTTGCTAGAAGACCTTCCCTGTAAGAAATACTAACAGGGGTCCTTCAGACTGAACTGAAGGACAGTAGATAGTAACTTGAATCCACATGAAGAAATAAAAAGCACCTAACTATGTAGATAAGTATAAAAGACAGTATAATGTATTTTTTAACATCTTTTATCTCCTATCTGATTTAAAAGATCAATTGCATAAAGCAATAATTATAAATCTATGTTGATGGACACAAAATGTATAAAGATGTAATATGGGACAATAACAGTAGAAAGGAGATGGTGAGAGTAAAGCTATAGAGGAGCAAATTTTATGTCTATTATTAAAACTAATTTGGTATTAATATGAATTAGAATTACAATAAGATGTAAATGGTAATGTCCAAGGCAACTGCTAAGAAAATAACTCAAATATATATAGCAAAAGAAATAAGACAATTGAAATGGTACATTTGAAAATATCTACTTAACACAAAAGAAGGCAGTAATAGAGGTAGTGAGAAATGAAAAAAGACATAAGACAGTGAAAACAAATAGCAAAGTAGCAGATAGAAATTCTACTTTACCACTAATTACATTAAATCAAATGGATTAAACTCTCCAATTAAAAGGCAGAAATTGACAGAATATTTGAAAAACATGATCCAACTACATGCTGTCTATAAGAACTTCACTTTAGATTCGAAGACACAAATAAGTTTACAGTAAAAGAGAAATGGAAAAAGATATATGATGCAAACAGTAACCAAAAGAGAGCTGGAGTGGCTACACTAGTAACAGACAAGATAGGCTTAACACAAAAATTGTCACTAGAGACAAAGATGGACATTTGTAATGATAAAAGGCTCAATCCATTAAGAAGGTAAAACAATCATAAATATATATGCATCTAACAACAGAGCCCCAAAATACACGAAACAAACTGACATAATTGGAGAAATAGACAATTCAACAATAGGAGCTGGAAACTGGAATATTCCACTTTCAATAATGGACAGAACAACTAGACAGAAGATCAGCAAAAAAAATAGATGAGTCAAACTATAAACCAATCAGACCTAACATATCTACAGAACACTTCCCAAAAAATACAACAAAAAAAATCAGTAAAAGACATGTTCTTCTCAAGTGCACATAGAACATTCTCCAGGAGAGACCACATGTTAGACCCTAAGACAAGTCTCAATAAATTCAAAATGACTAAAACCATGCAAAGTATATTTTCCAACCACAGTGGAAATTA